CATCTTTAAATTGATTATAGACAATATCCTTCAAAGATAAAACAAGAAATTCCACGTGACCGAACGGTTTCATCATGTTCAGTGTTGAAAAGCGACACTTGCCACCTCTGGAATTCTTCGTTCCAATAATTTATTCAAAAGCGCATGTTATGCCCTTTCTAAGGATACCAAATTCGAGATTGGCACTCAACGGATTATTGAGATATGGCTATTTGACTGATGCAACAGTACTAAAATCTCCCTTGACGGAACAGTTTGACTGGTGTCAGTGACCAATATGTGCACTTGCCCCTCCAATAAGCCAAACTTGTAATACTCCATCAAATGGGGCATATTATGCCCTTTCTAACGATCCCAAACTCGAGATAGGCACTCAATGGATTATTGAGGTATGACTGCTTGACTGATGCAGTAGTACGAAAAACTTCCCTTGACGGAACAGTTTGACCAGTGTCAGCGGCAGATTATCCCCAGATACGAGATGTGGTCATTGCGTTGGATTTCCTTACAGTCTGTTTCGATTGGGTGGGTCAGGTTGTCTTGAATGAGTCGTGATCTCCTGAAGTCGATGACAAGCTCTTGCGTCTTGTAAGGGTTCAGGTAGAGACCATGTTGCTTCGCGAATGAACTGACGGCACAGACGGGCTTCCTTGTACTTGGTTAGATCGTCCTCGTCAGAGATTGCGGCAGCAACTGCGGTGTCGTCGGCATATTTTAGGGGAAGGACGCCTTCGCTTGTGCTTCTTAATGCGTCAGTGGTGCATGTGAATGCGAGGGGGCCTATGATGGAGTCTTGAGGGACGCCCTTCTGGAAGGTGATTCGTCTTCGTTGATTCCCGTACACGAGAGTAATTAATGATGGACTGTTGGGAGAATGCTAAAACGAAGCACTTGAAATATGGAGAGGCGGCCAGGGTATACCCGCCTGCCTAGCCTAAAGGGGATCGAACAAAATTGAGGAGAAAGGTGCCAACGATAGCCATACGAAAGGTTTCCGTGCAGATGCACATCAGAACCAAAGCAACGCCTATCATTCAGATCTAACGTTAGACCAAAGGTTGTCTGTACGGAGTCAGGACACGATGGAACTCATTTAGCATGCTTTCTCAAGTTAGATGCTGAAATTCGTGCGACGGAAAGTACCTTGACCATCAGTAAACATTCACGCAAAAGTTTGCATCGATGCAGCGGAATATTTTGGCTGAAGGGTCGGGGTGGGGGCAGGGCAGGGCAATAGAGCCAAACCCCACCCGAGAGATATCGGGAGAGAAAAGTATTACCTCTAAGGTGGGGCTAGGCTCTGTCCCAGAGGCGCCAGGGGGCGGCTACCCCCCGTAAAATACGCCACTGCATCGATAGAACTCTCAAATTCGTTTCTGACCTGCACATCGAAATATTTTTGGCAGGTACGGCTAAGAAACCGGCACAGAATAAACCATGTTTTCTCAAGGCAATTTCATGTCCCCGTCTTTCCTCCCAATATTGCATCAATTAGGATGCATGTGGCCATGAAGCGCTGGTTGTTTTAAGCAAATTTAGCAAATCATTAAGAAAAGGAACGCGTTAAAGTAACGCCACATATTTTTGCCATGAAAAAGGAACTAGTTACCAGTTCCGTTACCCTCCCCTGAAAGGTAACTCATTACCAAAAAAGTTTCTGAAAAAAGTAATTAATTGCTGTAACGCGTTACTTTTACTTCGTTACCGCCCCACACTGGAAATATCTATCATGTTTGTTATCATGTTCATGTTTACCGCAGGATGGTGGCCCAAGGATGCCTCCAAGGATGCACCATTTACTCTCCCAATATGTCGTAATTGAGCTCAGACCACTAGCGGGGATTGTTGCGTTAAGACATGACAGATCTGTGAAATTACAGAGACGACTATTCAATGGATTTGACTATGGACCCAAGACATTTCACTTACTCCAGTGTGTTTTCTAGTTTTGCAGTACTGGAAGGAATTACTTGTCCTTTGACAAAACCAACTAGAGTATCCGTCCAGGCACAGATCTGGAATTCCACTGGCCTCTGTACCTCTGGAAACACCACACGGTGTTTAAAAGAAACGGTGCCAAATCATTTTCGCTTTTAATGACAGCAAATTTTATCAGATCAACTCAATTTTTTAAACACTGTATGTAGATAGAGGAAAGAAGGCATGTGTCAAATTTTAATGAAATTGACGCATTATATCACGTTCAAATTAGATATGTAAAAAGTGTGCCGTACAAGCACAAAAAGTGTGCCAATTCGTTTATTTATTTATTTTAGGAATGATAGTGAATTTCATCCGATCGGCCCAACATTTCACAAACTGCATGTGGATAAATGAAAGAAGGCATTTGCAACTTTTGAACGATATTGACCGAATGTATCACGTGATACATCGTTTAAAACTTGAAGGGTACGAAAATGCACCGGACATGCCTGCTGATGCATTCGTCTCAGCTGTTCAGCTAGCGAGTGTCTGCGTGCCATCCAAAACGACAAAGGAGGTTTAACTTCACTGCATTTTCTTAGCCTTCAAATTTTAAACGGTCTATCACGTGATACATTCGGTCAATATCGTTCAAAATTTGCAAAAGCCTTCCTTCATTTATCTGCATGCAGTTTTTGAAATATTGGCCGATCAATTTCCTTAAAATTTGGCGCATGTCTTCTTTCCTCTATCTACATGCAGTGTTAAGAAAATTAAGTTGATCTGGTAAAATTTACTCTCATTAATAGCGAAAATGATTTGACACAGTTTTTTTTTCTTTTATAAACGCCGTGTATATATTCAACGCATCCTAACCATCCAACCTTGAAATAAATAATAGCGGTCATTGGTTCAGCGTTGGCCTATGTGTAAAGGCCTGGACAACTAGACATGTTCTCGATGGTTTGCGCGTCCGCATCACGTGGAGATGGGAGGACAGTATGAAGTGTAAGATGCCAGATACGGCATTTCACGCGTACGCCTAGCAACCCTGTCTACGCGGCCGGGAGCAGCCGCTCTCCTTCATTATCTACTATGGATTTGTCAACCGCCAGGGCTGGAAAGGAGGTGGATGTTTTCGTGGAAGAGGAGCACGCCAGGAGGAAAGCTGCGCGTGCGCATTGGGTTATATTGTCCGGTCGCTATGGTTACTGCGGACAGATGGAACGAAATAATAAGGGAAACTGATTTAGCAGATTCGAGGTACCAGGGCGACATCTCTGTTGGAGGCCAAGCACCTAAGATTTATAGTCACCGTGGATCGCGGGTCGTTCATGCTTTGAGGATGATTGTCGAGTCATCTTTCACAGACCACGTTGGCTTCTGAGTCACCACTTCGTGTGCTACGTCATGTGCGATTTCACGTGGTACGTCACAATATATTAACTTTCAAGAACATCTAAAATAGTATGGGGAAATGGCACTTATTTTTGGTTGCGCCATAGTTTCTGCGTGTAGCTTAAACGATGGTTAGATTGTGTAGTTTTTCTTAATCCCAGCAAAATCTAACTATAAATCCAGTTTCCTATTGCAAATAGTCTCAACACTAAAAGCCTCGCCTCAGGTGAACATTTTAAACAATATTAGCTCAATATGAACAGGTCACTACTACCTTCAGGCAATGTTGGCACAATGTTTCACGCTATCTGGTATCCGAAACTTTCCTCTCGCATCCGACACGCTCATAAAATAGCCTTGCTTTATTTTCCTACTTCTGTAGTCAAAAGGTGACTTACACCTAATACAGGCTTTCGTTTCATATATGAAAAGCACATAACCCTGAATTGATGGGGTACATCACAGAAATGTGACCACGGGAGCAAGTCCCTTAGGTTTCCAGAAATGTCATGTCCGACATTTCTCGCATGCAGGTCTATTTTTTCTTCACTTATGTCATGATAAAGATGTCAGTGAGAGGCACGAGGGAATGTCCTGGATTCGGTGGTGTAATGGAAGCACACCTGACCGGTAATCAGGTGGCCCGGGTTCAATTCCCGGCCGTCCTCTGGCTTTCTTTCGTCCTCACCTCCATCCAATCTTCCCCCCCTGCCATTCGCATGACACTTATACTTTTCTTGGCCATACCCTCTATGCTTTTTTGTTCTTTGTTTTGCTAGAGCTTGTTTCCATCAAGTCACATATACACTGCGAGTGCCATATCATTTCATGTCACAAAAAGATAGTGAAAATTATGCAAACACTTCGCCATAATTTACCCATTTGGCAAAATGAATTTGGCAAAAGGGTGTGGTGAGTGAACACCCTATCTACTCCATACAAGATGGTGCCTCGTCAACCACATTGGTCCGCCATTAGGGTTCTTTCCAATTCTTGTTTCAGGCCCTCTGATTGTTAGTTCCTTTCAGATAAATGCTGTTTAGACTTGCCATTCTTAGGCGAGACTTAATTTACAGTACACGACATAATCATGGTCTGCACCGTGCACAGCAGTCACGACTTGGGTGTTTCGTTTGGCCGAGGTATAGTGATGGACCGGCATCAGAGTAACGGCGAACCTTACTTATGCACTGTAAGGCCAAGATTGCTCGAAACACTTTGCTGTGAAAAGATTATGAAGCATTTTTTATTTGCGCCACAAAATTTCACATGGTTCGGACACTCGTGCATGGGATGTTCCTTATGCACAAGTGTCTAAACCAAGTGGAAAACATTTATTGCATTATTCTCTTGGACTACGCCGTAATGAAGCCTCACACTACCTAACTTCGGAAGGTACTTGTTCCACTCAAGGAGAGTATGCAGCCCATGACATTACATGAACCTCGTGGCGATCCAAACAAGACCTAGGCCTATTGTCAAAGAGGAATTCATGTCACAGCTTCCGTAAAGGTATCTTCATTGTTTCAGTTAGACTCTGGGCAATATTGGGTCTGCACTTTTGGCCCTAATTGTGAAAAAAATATCTAGGTGGAAGACATTTGAAAAATAGCATGAATCTGTGAAACAGCAGATGTAGAAAGCACTTGAAGGTATGAGGACAAGCAGTAATTGAAGGGGATGGAAAGTTGCAAAAAAAGTGGGAATAACTCAAGATGCATGAAGGCAGACAAGTTTGAAGGGTTTCCACCTTGAAACAAGTGGAACAAGTTAACTGGGGAACCAAGAGAGATGCTCTGAGTTCACATAAATTTGTAAAACAATGTGAAGTAACTTGGAATGGTGGGTCAACTTTGAACAGATTTTGACTTGCAAATAATGCTATATTGAATGATATTATCTGTCTTGCAATCCAACAAATATTTTCTTTTGGGGGCAGAGGATGAGGCTGCAAGATGAGAAATTTTATCTTGAATATCACTAATTTTTTGTCAGAATCTGATCCAAGTTATCCCACCCCCATCAAAGTCTGTGTATATCTACCTCCACCTGACCACCTTAATGCTAGTGGGGGTATAAAAGGTCCACCTCCAACTTACTCCAGTGCCGTTTCAAGAAATAATATTTTCTGTATGATTTTCACATTTCTGGAACCATAATAAATAAGAGTAAACAATTGGAAAAATGTTAAATTTTAATGAATATCCTTCATATTTACACCCTTCATTTACACTCCTTCACAGGGGTGTAAATGTCTCATGATATTACACTTACTGAGGTATTACTGAGATATTACACCATACCTAACCTTCAAACTATTGATATTACTCATAACAATTGCATTTTTTAATTCAGCAAAGGGCACCCTTTATAATGATATACATAACCCTGCCATAAGTAAATACAGGGTCCACCAAGTTGTGACAGGATTTTAAACTTGAATAAATAAAAATCACAATTACATAATCAAAAATTGTTTATTGCCAGTTAAAGGGTACATCTGGGAGTTATTATATTGCCTGTTAGTTTTTGAATGCAACATTTTTAAATGCCTTCCATGGTTAGCCACACATTGACATGCTCGAAGAACTGCACTTTCCATGATGGAAGCCAAAGTGTCCTGATTAATGCTGTTTATCTCTATGCTTTTGGACACATTCCTTGGGCTCCCAGGTCTCTAGATTTATTCCGCTTACAGTTGCCCATCGGACACAGTTAACTGTACGCAGTGCGTAGGGTTGCCCAGGTGGCTGTACCCTCTAGGGATATTGTGTTTCTCCTTAAGTTAGACCAGGTTAGGTTAGGGAGGTGGGTGTGGTGTGTATTATATATAATAAGAATCCCAATCAATTGAGATTCCAGGTGACTCTACTCGCGCTCAGTTAACCAGACGCATTTGGTTAACTGTAAGCGGAACAGATTTATCAGCCCCAGACTTCTTCCTGTGGGGCTACTTAAAGGAAAGAGTTTAACTTACAAAGCCCAGAACACTACAGGAATTAAAGGAAAGGATACACATAGAAATAAACTGCATTAATTGGGACACTTAGGCTTCTGCATGGAAAGTGCAGTTCTTCAAGCACATCAATGTGTGACTAACCCTGGAAAGCCATTTAAAAGATGTTATATTAAAAAACTAACAGGCATTATCATATCTCCCAGATGTACCTGTTATATAGCAATAAACAATTATTGATAACATAATTATGATTTTTTAAATTTAAGTTTAAAATCCTGCCACGACTCTTGGCAGACCATACAGAAAACTATATTTTTCAAGTAGGGACTTTCCACATCATTTCCATGAAGGTGCTTGCTTGAACAGCACAGTCTGTCCAACAGTTTTCATAATATGTGCCTCCCCCTCCCCCTAAAATAAGAAATTTGAGGGTAAAGGGGAAATCATAGACAGCTATAATTGCTAACTTCTTTGCCAGCAATCCTGTTTGGCAAAATCTGTGCATAAATGAAAATCATTGAAGAGGGGAAAGGGGTTAACCCCTTATTGCATGGTGTTCTTGAAAGGGCACATACTGGAATATTTTTTATATGAAATTGCTGAAGAGTCACAATGTTGTGAATGGGAAATATCTGAAGCATCCTCGATGTTTCCAATTTGGAAGAACATCAGTACATTTTAAATGTATGTTTGCTACTAACTGGGACCATATGGAAGATATCATGTCAGTACCCATAACTGAGTAAAGACATTTTGCTGCAAGCTTCTCCATTTTTTAACCATTACTTTTCATGTCTAAAAAACTTTATCATGCATTATTTGTCTCATATTCATCTCACATCTTTGTCTGAGGTTTCAAAAATTGTACCTATTGCATTTTTTCTCTTGCAAATTTATTCCATCTTGACAAAAACAAATAATTGCATTGAGGTGTGACTATGAGCAAAAAATCACAATACACATATTGCATACAATGACTATTTCCCAAATTACTCCTACAATATTGGAGCCAGAAACCTGAAATTTCACATGGGTACTCAGAAATGACTAACCTAGGATGTATTGGGACTGGTTTTCCTGATTTTTATTTTGCTTTTATTTTGCTTCTTAGCTTTTTACTTTAGTAAAAAGCTAAGAAGCAACTGCCATCAAATTTTTTAATAACATGACAGAAATAGTTCATTTTTGCATGAAAAAATTGGGGAGTTTACTTTTTTGCTCCCAAAAACCTGTAGCTGTATGTTTTATCATGGAGTCCTATGAATTTGACTGTGGTTTGGGAAATGCAGATGTACTAACATTTGAGGTTTTTCAAGAATATCTCAGAAACCACTGGAGCTTGATGTAAAAGTTATGTTGCAAAAAGATCTTTCAAATACAAGCTTTTCAATGGTACCAATGATTTTTACTTTCTGCAAAACATCACAATTTGTATTTCTTGCTCTTAGTCTCCCCTTAAAATGATCAAAATTGACTTATTTGATGTTAAATATCTGACTTTAGTACTGTTGAGGAAATTATGCAAATTTTTATATTTTTTCTCCAAGGCCTACATAAATCATGTAGTAAGGTGTTAAATCTCCAATCTCCTCCCTGGAGGTGTTATTGGAGGAGGCATTGGTGTCTCCCAGGCATCAGGAGATGCCATTGCCAGTGAAAGGGTTAATGTGGGCAAACATATGTCACGTGATTAACAGAAGGTAGGGAGGTTGGATGGACGAGAGAGGACGAAAGAAAGCCAGGGGACGGCCGGGAATTGAACCCGGGCCTCCTGATTGCCGGTCAGGTGTGCTACCATTACACCACCGAACCCAGGACATTCAGTTGTGCCTCTCAACACTGCCTTCATCACACATACATGACTCTTTGTGCCATGTCTAAGAGATACAGCCTGTGCAACAGACCTTNGGATGGTGCTTACTTCGATTAAAAATGTTCATTATCAGCTGAGTTACGACCCTTCAAAGTTTGCGATCGAATTCGGACATTTATTTTGGAACAGCCTAATACTATTTTTTCCATATTTGCCTATAGGTAGTAGGTAACCATAATTCCTCAAAGATTTTCTTGAAAGCTAAGTAATGAAAGCTGAGTAAGGCCTTTCATTGCTATTGTATTGTATAGGATTTCACTGTATTTTCATAATGCGACAACGGACTGGTTTGGTTTGGGTATAATATACTCAATGTTTTATTGGGGACGAGGAAGTTACCTTGTTGCTTCCGATTTTCATAAAAACCGAAATTATAGTTTTCAGAGTGGTTATCGATTCGTTCGCTAATGGTGCTGCGTTGCAGGCTAGACATTGTCAGCAGCAATTGCTACGCGATAAATGCCAATCACCACCTGACTCAGTGTAATGGCATGGATGAACACAGACGGGGACTCTATTCATCCTCCAAATGGGTTCCTTCACCTGTTGGTCTGATCTCACCTGCCGTCCTAACTGGATTGGTTTCAGGCAGTCTGCTATTCCATACCTCCCTCGTTGGTAACTTGACCTTTGCGGGAAAATGAGACCAATTGCATCGTCGACGTTACACATATGTCACGTGAATAACTGAAGGTAGGGAGGTTGTGATGGACGAGAGAGGACGAAAGAAAGCCAGGGGACGGCCGGGAATTGAACCCGGGCCTCCTGATTGCCGGTCAGGTGTGCTACCATTACACCACCGAACCCAGGACATTCAGTTGTGCCTCTCAACACTGCCTTCATCACACATACATGACTCTTTGTGCCATGTCTAAGAGATACAGCCTGTGCAACAGACCTTAAAAATCCATCATTTCAATCATGGGCCTTACAACCTGTGAACCACCCAAAGGCCTCCTTTAGCACCATGGAGGGATGTCCCTGCCTGAGAGACTGTGAATAGTGTGGTGCTTGTGTCAAGCAGACAGAAAATTTTTTATGGCTTTCTTCATAAATGTCAGATATCAAAATTCACTCTGCTCACTGCCTGTCCTTATATAGGCCTAAAAGAAAAAGACAAGGTAATGGTACAAAAGTACAGTCCTACAGGGTTGCCATTAGTCAGGACTACACTTTCACTTGAGTAATAGCTATATACAATGGTGAAAGGAAGCAGAATATAAAACTCCACTCCTCTTTTGAGGATATGTCAACTATGAAAAAAAAAGGTGTTTTTTTTTTTTGCAACGAATGTTCAATATATCTTGTACTGCAGGAAAATGGAAATTAGTCCTCTTACAGCCTGATGTCATTTTCCTCATGGAAGACCACAAACAATTAGACCTTAGATGACCTCTTCTAGGAAAGCATTAGCATTGGGCTGAGTAGTATAAAGGTTGATATTTTCAAGCATATTATATAACTATTCCATAGAGGACTACTTATATTATGAAATGTTGTGAGCCCTCATGAACCCCCCTTAACCCATTCACAATTGGAGAATGTGAAAGCTTATGCCCATTCATTGCAATACCAAATGATTCCAATCTTCATTTCATTGGACATGCATTTGAGTATCCTGAAATGCTAGAAACACGAACTTGGACAACAAAATGTTGAACAAAAAAATGTCACTGTGATAAATTAATCATGTTCTGAGTTAGGGAGCATTCTAATTTCCATTCCTTGTATCTGATTCTAATCACAAATTTGATAATTCAGTCCTAGTCATATTTTCAGAGTCTGATGGTAAGCCTATATGGCATGCAATGCATTTGGAAAGATTGAATATAAGGAATGAATTTAAAGATGAGGATAACTAATAGGTGGAATTCATCTTATGTATTGGCAATGTTCTTGTCTTTACAGACTTTTAGAATGTTGAAGTACTCTGTGCTACTGCCAACCTATAATGAAAGGGAGAACCTACCACTCGTGGTTTGGCTGATAGTGGAAGCTTTTGAAGAGGCTGGAGAGAGTTTTGAAATCATCAATATAGATGATGGAAGCCCTGATGGAACACAGGAAGTAGCAGAGCAGCTTCAGAGGATATTTGGTGAAGATCGTATTGTTCTTCGACCCCGAGCTGAGAGACTTGGGTTGGGAACAGCTTACATTCATGGCTTGACTCATGCCAGAGGGGAGTTCATCTTTATAATGGATGCAGACCTTTCCCACCATCCCAAGTTTATAAAAGACTTCATCCAAGTGCAGAGAGAAGGAGATTACGACATTGTAACTGGAAGTCGGTACTCAGATGGGGGTGGAGTTTATGGCTGGGATTTGAAGAGAAAGATAGTGAGTTCTGGAGCAAATATTCTAACCCAAATTCTCCTGAGACCAGGCATTTCAGATGTGACTGGTAGTTATCGACTCTACAAGAAGCATGTTCTACAGAAACTTGTTAAATCGTGTGAGAGCAAAGGATATGTCTTTCAGATGGAGATGATTGTGAAAGCAAGGGAAAATGGCTTTTCTGTTTCCCAAGTACCCATCACCTTTGTTGATCGCATGTATGGAGAGTCAAAAATGGGATTTTCAGAGATCTTACAGTTTGCCAAGGGCCTCCTACATCTCTTTATGACATCACAATGATCATTGGTTGTATCCACGAAGTTTGATCCTATTACTCATTCCAGAGGGCATGTTTTGATTTCTGATGCTGAATAGGCCTATATTTATCAAGAATTATCATTGGAAAATTTCCCATAGCAATTCTGTGGTATTCTGGCGAAGAATGCTGACTCCACTGTTGCTGTTTGGGGTATCGTCTCATTAAACTTCATTGCACTTATTGGCCTTGTTTCTTTTACCTTGACTCTATTATCTCTTATCAAACATATGGAGCAAGATTTGCACATTCTTATTCTTTGGTTGATGCACTGTACAGATTTCAAGTCCTTCAATTCCATTTTCAGTTGACTCCTGCATTTCATATGTTCATTTTGAGTGTATGAGTAGTCTTATTTTGCTAAAAGAACACGTGAGTATTTTTACTGGCCAACTCAGTAATGGTAATAGCATTGCATTCTCAAACTTGGTTTTCATTGAAACATTGCATGATGAAGCAGCATTTGATCAGAAAACTCACTCATATATGGGAGAAACCTGCACTTGAACACATTAAGGGAGAAGAATGCTGAAACCTGCCTAGTCAAATAGGATGCATAGGTTTCACTAGCATCAAATGTACAGGGTGACCCAAAAGTTCGTTGACTCAATTTTTTACACTTTTAGGAACAATTAACAAAGCGACAAAAAAAACTACTTATACAATCTGTAGAAACTCATCAATGTGCAAATCACTTAACAATTGCTCCCTTGAGACAAATGCAGATTTTCAACCTCTCGGGTTGCATCCACAGCGGCACGAAGTGAATCTTGAGGAAAATTCTTCCATTCTTTGACAAGAGCAGCTATCAAAAAGTCAACACCACGGTGGCGCTTAGAGCAGACCTTGGCCTCCAACATTCCCCAAACGGCGTGGTCCATTGGGTTCAGGTCCGGCGAGGAAGCCGGCCATTCCTGGATTGAGATAAGGTCGGGAAAATTTTCTCGGCACCATTTCTGAACAATGATGGCTTTGTGGGCCGGCGCTGAGTGTTGTTGGGAAATTCCTTTCCTGTCCCGGAAGTGCCTCCCTGCCCACAGCTTCGTAACCTTTTGAAGGACGTCCCTTCAGTAAAACTCGGCATTGATTTTAACTCCTTTGTTGACGTGAGTGGAGTACGACCATCAGCGGTGATGCCAGCCCAAACCATCACACTAGCAGATTTTTGTTCACGAGTAACATTGCGGACACTTAGAGAGATAGAAGAGGTGCTAGTTGCCCACAATGGGTCATTCTGACAGTTCAAAGGCTGCTGCATGGTGAATTTTTTTCATCGGTGAACTGGACATCCCAATGGAGCCCAGTAGCGAGCCGCTGCTTGAGGTCTTTGCAACGAGAGACCCTGTTCATAACGACCTTCCTGAGAAGCAGGACCTGCCTTATTTTGTAAGCCCGAATACCTAGTTTGATCTCGAGAATTCAGGTAACCAAGCTGCGACTCATATCGATTTGTGAGGCCAATTTCCGCACCAACCTCCTTGGATTACGTCGAAGCCTCTCCCTGACAATTGTAATGTTTCTGGATGTAACAGCAGTGCATGATCGGCCCGATCTTTGCCTGTCGTAGCCGAGAGTCTCCTTGTACCGTTTGATTGTCTTTGACACCAGATGCTTGCTGACACCCAGCCCAGTGAGGGCTCGAACAATCTCACAGTTCCTTTTCTTGACCTTGTGCAGAACTATAATGCCAGGTCGCTTTGAATCAATCTAAATTAAAACAAATTATAGCCGGAGGTAGTTTTTTGGTGCAAAAATGTAAAAAGCACACTAAAGTGATAGTGAACAACTGAAAATTAGGTGGAAGCAGGCTTGCCCGAACTTGTTCGGACACATCCAAAAAGGTCAACGAACTTTTGGGCCACCCTGTATACTGCGCTGGAAATGGCTGGCCGAAAACTGTCCTTAGTGCAAAAAAAAAAAAGTAATACTGCTTGGGGCTAGCACAGTGTCTGCTTGAACGCTTCAAGAGACGCTTTGGTAGTGGTGATGGGAGGAGGAATTCATACAAATTCTGGACAATTTCGAAGGCAATATTTTTCAGAGGGAAGTTGTTGGTGTCTGCAACAATTGAAGTTATGAACAGAAGAACGATCAAAGTGCAATACGGTTCTTATGATTGTTGATCATTTTTTCCCGTAATTGTTTCAGTTCTTGTGAGGAGGGGATGTCTTATGCAAGCGAATTACCAGACCAATGAGCATGCCCAGGCAACACAACCCTAGCGGGCCGCGTGCTGTGGAACTGATGGCCTTAACCCTTTCATGTATGACTTTTTCGAGCAAAAGAAAAATATGCCTTTTTTGGTTTGAAGGGCTGGAGCTGGGCTGGAGGAAGTGTGCTACCTAGGTGGTGACTTCGCCGATGCGATGTACTTGTGCCTTTTTATTTCCGGGAAGAAGCTTCAGAATATGCCGCTGGGAGTGAGGGTTCTGGAGTGATCCAAGGTGTCAGGATTTTTGGAAGATCCTAAAGTAGCAATTGCCGATTCATTTGGACACTTCCCCTGGTTACGTGCTACTCTGTATTCACACACATGAACGGTAGGATATTTTCACGATGCCGATGCTTCAAAACGAGCACAGCTCCTGCACACCAAATCAGTCTAAGCTGGTCAAGTCATCTTTAGTCAATGCCTATTGCTCGACGTGCGATTACTGACATCCACATTACACCGCATCATTCCAGTCTAATCAAGTGATTGGACTGAAACAGTATGAAGTGATTGTCAGAATCATAAGGCTCGAAACCTTCCAGACAGGACTAGACTAAATAAATTTGGTGAGCAGGCACCCATATCCAATGTGGACTTGAACTGACGAATCTCGTTTTTCTGCTTTCTTAATTTTTTCTTGTCAGCTCGTTTTTATTATCCACAAATCTTTCTATTTTTTGTTTTTCGTTCTTTTAGTGATATTCATTTAGGAGGCAAGCATGTTTATGAAACGTCTTCATGCTTTTTTTTCAGTTTATTACAATGGGATATTTAGGGGTGTGGATGAATTACGTAGGAAGGAAGCCACCCAGATAGCCAAGGTCGGCAACGATCGCGTGCTTCTAGATCCAATAGGGCGGTTCCTTCGTCCTTGAACCTCCTGGATAATCGAAAGGGCAATGGTGACCTTGAAATCGGAAGGGAAAACAGGTACTGAAGGGATTGGTTTATTTCACTTCTCATGAAGGATTTTCAACATGCCATGGATACACCAACACACTTGATTCGCTAGATTCCCTCAGCAGCAATATCAATAGACAGGTTTATACCCAAAGGGGATATGGACAGGGGAAAATTAATATTGGGAGCTGGGAAATACGGAGCAGAGCATCATTCGTCTGACCTCGGAGGGTATCCCCCTACTCTGTATTTCCCTGCTTCATTTCCTTTGTATTCTGAGATCACAAGTAAAACGAAAAAAAATCGTGAATTTCGACATGAGCAATTCGAAACACATGATAACCATTAAAACTCTCTTTAGATGCCCCGTCACAATCTCTCTTACATGAGAAAACCGGGACAACAAAATACAATACATCCAATCACACAAACATATCATCACCCACAGCAACACCGTCTACAAGAATCAAATCAGTCATGAGTGTGTTCATAGAACGTACTCTATATATCATAGATATATGGGATAAAACATTGCCCGTGGAAGAGGCGCAGGGAAAGGCTAACTGCCTTCCAGCGCCAAGGTCCACTACAGGGCAAATTTCCAAAAACGCCACCCAGGGGGAAAGGGCACACATGTGCGAACATACAACAGTACACACTGAACGTGCAAACTCTTTCTTAGCGCCTCTCTTCACCTAACTGGAAAGAAGAGGCTAGGGAAATAAAAAATATAGGTCTAGAAAATGATGAAAGAAAAACACTGAGGGGGAAACCAGCCCCAACAGCCAACCAGTCAGAAGAGGGGGGAGGGGAAAGGAAGGGAAAATCAGTGAATAAAGAAATTGCCTACTAGGGCATACACCGTATTCTGAAGCCTGAATGGGACTCCAAAATCATCCAAATCATTTTACCAATATGTACAAGAAAGAAGCCCCGCCTTACCGCTAAGGGCTAAGAGGAAGAAGATGAAACAGACCAGCTGTCACCCCTTCCAATAGAAAGAAAAAACTCCATTTAAAAATATATACACGCACACCTGACACGGGGAAAATAATTAAAAATTAATTAGAAAATAGAGGCCTCGTCTGAAGATGGAGGATTTCTCGTTTTTTCAGGTACAAGGTCCATTTTTGTTTCTCCCTCTAGAGATGATAGGGAGAGCAGAACTGATAAACAAGGCGTTGAGACCTCTCCGTCTTTTTCATGATTCCCTTCTTGTAATATTGTCGGATGGAGCGAGAGAGCTTGTCGTAGTTCATGGCGGGTCTCTTCTTCCTCTTGCCCCAGAGACGAGCAACTCGGACGGAATCCTCAATCTTGAAGACCCCTTTCCCTCGATCCAACCAGCGAATGCATGATCCATAATGTGTTTGATCCGTAAGAAGCTCCTTAAGGAACTGCCAGAGATGAATGTGAGACCCTCCTCGACCACCACCACCACCACCACCACCTCCTCCTCGCTCGTTCTCCTCCTCCTCGTCTGCATCAAAAATTCAAACGTCTCGTTTAACTGTTCATTTTCTAAGGTCATATAACGCATGAATAAAAAAAGAGATCTTCAGTCATGGGTGAAGAGCACCCAATGGAGAGCCAAGGTCTCTGGTCGAAAAAAAAATACTGGTATCTATAACGGTACAATCGGATGACACCGGTTCTCCCAACGTCACCGTTCCCTTGCCATGCAACATCTAGCCTCGTTGTCATGAGTATCATACAACGGGTGTAACGAGGTCGGTACCTGATGAATAAGCTTTGTCAAGTGTCTTCAACTTTCATTCTTTATTGAAAAGCGAGAAGAAACGGTTAGAGAACCAATCAATGGATGCGTATGAACTGAGAATGTGGTCATGGAGGAGAGAAAGTGTGTCGGAGGCACAGAAATGGGACACGGAAATAGGCCGACTCATGTTTCGCCTTACCTTAAACGTGTTTCAAAGCGTGAAATGGCTCCTGCATCAAATAACAAAAGGACATGACGTCACTCTACCCTTTCGCTCGCTGACGTCACTAGACAGGCCGAGTGTCTGGTTTCTCAGCATATAATAATGGGTCAGTTAACGGTGCGAACTGGGGAAGGGAATTATTCGGTAGTGGCCATGGGTGACAGATACAGGCCTGAAAGGGAAACGTGGGCTGGGGCCCGAACTGGAAGGCCTTGGCATGGACGAGGCCGAGGCAAGCCACCGACCGACACACACCATCAACTATAGACAGGGTCTACAAGATTGATAGGAGCGTGATTAAAAACGAGGAGGCGAGCGAAGAGAGGAAAAAAAGCGTTCAGGAATCCAGAAAGACCTTGGCAGGAGTACGAGGAGGGAGGGAGAAGGAGAGAGAGAGAGAGAGAGAGAGAGAGAGAATAGCCCGAGGCAAAGCTTTTCTGAGAAAAGGAGGCCAAACTCCTTGGCCAAGCCCTAGCTGAGGCATTGGGCAGGGTCTGTTGCTGTGCCACATCTCTAAACCTCCCACTCCCTCTTGCTGCTTCAAGTCTTGCTGCTTTCCCGTTTCCACTTACGATTCCCACTGAAACTGCGACTAAGGGGAAACCGGGAGATGACAAACGAGAAAGCGGGAATCCTCACTGCCAATTGAGGACACGCTAATTTTAGAACCTGGCGCCCTTTTACGAACACAACGGGGTGAGTGGTGGGGGAAACAAAACAAAAATTCCGAGGGATTCTGCCAGGTAGATGAGATCCAAGGCTTTCTTTTCTTCTCTCAGTCGAGAGCTTTTCCTGAAGGACACGACGGATGCCCCGAGGGTAGTCGTGAAAAGAACCAACTCGCTTCGCTCGCCACATCGCATTCTTTCCTACTACGCAGAAAAAAAAAACCTTATCTCTCTGAGTCGCTCTTATCTACGTGTATGACGCAAATTCATGGCGTTGCGACTCCATTGGATCCTAAAATACTCCAGAAACGTGCCACGTGTAACGAGGAGTGGGGAATCTGTTACCTGTCCTTGTAGACCTCACTGACTGGCGGGGATGGACCTTCAAAGACAAGGTTCCCCGCATATATCATTCCCGCTGGACAGAAGGAAATTTGTGGCCTGGCTTCCAAGAGCAAGACTCGTAAAACGTGTATGTGTGTAGGTAGAGAGACGAGGACTCGTTAGACCTTGAAGTCCAGTCTGCCCCAGGGCCGTCCATGATAATCATCTACAGACTTGCTGTACATACCGAGCTATAAGGCAGCTTTTCTTCTCCCTTCCGGCGAATCCACTACGGATTAGAGTTGGGTCGCATTCCCATTACGTATACTAGCACAGCCGAGCTCGTCCTCGTCTTGCATATCTCCTGGTATTTTATTCACGTGTTTGCCCGGAGAATGAAAAATCGATGCGAGGCGGAGCCAAGCAATACGATATGATGAGAGGGAAAAAATTCTCTCTCTCCCTCCCTACGAGCAAACTCACACCAAGTCTCCCTCTCCAGCCATTCAATTACACGAGATGGAAGTTGGCGTGACGTGAAGTAAAGGAAGCCCTTTGATCCCAGGAAGATTGGAATGCAATCTTACCATCGGAGTCATCACGATCATGAAGTGATCTCGGAGAAAGAGATGAGGATCCCTCTGCACTACTCCAAGAGGCCAAGGAAGCCAGGTCGAACGGCGTCGATCCATCCTGGCCCTGACCTTGACCAGACATCCCCCGAGCACTTCGCCTCATCCGGATCTCAGCCGTGCTCCACAGATCCAGCGTTGCCATCAAGGCATCGCCACACTGGATGGGGGAAACAGGCAAAAAAGTTTTAATTTCCTCCATTCAGTCATTCATGTATGCAACAAAGATGAGATTATGTGGTTTTCCCCGGAAACCTCGTCTGACGCAATCCTTCACGTGAGGTAGAGAAAGGACAAACCTGTGGGGCAAGACGCATGAAAGCTTCCTCCGTGAGATTGAGCAGGGCCAGTCCGTCCAATTGGAAGTTGTCCACATTCACATACGGCAAGGAGTACTGGCCCACAGTCCACATCACCCATTTCTTCACATCTCCAACCAACCATTCCTTGGGATCTACCGAAAGCAATCATTTCATGAATAGAACAGAAGAAAGGGAATGAAAACAGCATATAAGTCTGTGCCGATAACTCGGAGAAATTGGCCTACTCTTCAGAAGTTGATTACTTCTTTTTTCTTCGCGAGTCTCGTTCCATCTGCATTACGTCATTAGCCTCACCACCCACGCTCAACAGAAAAAGGAATAAACGAGTTTATGCGTTTCGGATCTGTGCCCGTTTCCTTCGCCTTCATTAACCTTTGCGAGTTTTTCTGTCACATTCCTATGGGTTGAGAAGGGCAGAACTGCCACTCATTCCATAGAATGGGGACGTAAAGCACATCCATTCATTCATTCAGTTGCCCCTTTCATTGATCATGGGTGGAGCAAACTTGGGAAAGGGCTGTTCCAGGAATCCCTAGGCTGGGTTTTCCCCTCCCTTGTCCTTTCACGAGGGAAGGGAAAGGCCTCCGGGGCATTTTTTGGCCCATCTCGAACACGCCTGGTACTTTCACTCCATACAACCTGGCTCTTCTTGGAAGGGCTGTTTACCGAGGATGAAGAAGCATGATCAGCCATCATAGCAGACTTTCCTTTCACTTCTCTGGTTTTTCCCTTCTCGCCTGCTCGGTAAAAGCAGACAGAGCAGGAAGAGTCAGGGAGGGGCCAGTCGTAAACTATGGACTAGACCAGATGTCATCATGCTATGCGGCGGGAGCCTTTGCAGTATTGCTGGGAAAGCCGATCGTAGGGATGTTGGTGTGCCGCGCATAGCAAACAGGAAAACTAAGTTATGGGTCCGCCAATCCCAAGTGGCAGGCTGTAATTCCCATGCCCGACTGCTTCACTTCGGCCTACGGGTTTCTTTCTCTTTTTTCTTTAGTTACATCATAAGTAGAAACTCCCACAGCAAATAAATTTCCGTGATATTTGGTCCCCAATGACGTAGCAGGGTTTATCACACCTATACTTAACTCAATTTCATGTCGACTAGACCAGGAGCGTTGGGAATGAACAGTACCTAACTTAAGGCACTTTTCAGTCTGATGTTAAGGACAACCGTACGCTACATAGACTCTCTCAGAGCTATGGTGTGAAAAGCAAATCGATAGGCTTACCTGGTGAGATGTCCAGAGTCTTGCAAGCAAGTTCAATCTCCTGACTGATTTGATCCAGGGCCAGAGCAAGGAATGGCTCGATCTTGACGTCCCCACAAACGTCTGGTTCTCCTCCATTACTGTTATTGTGATTATTTCCCCCGCAGCAGGTCGGGGCGCTGCCATTTTCTTGCTTAATATTTGTGGTCAGCATCTCAGACAAGCTGTCATAATATGGCTCCGCCTTCACGTTCTGCAGGTAGGACTTGTCATTAAGGAACTGTCGGAGGAGCTGATGATCTGCTTGTTGATCTTGTAGAGGGGATTGGGGTTGAGAAGGAGGACTAGATGGTTTTCGCTGATAGGTGTCGCAGATGGGCTGATCCGAGAGAAGCATTTGAGAAGAATACTTGACGAACTGATCCAGGTCATCCATGGCTTCTGGGGATGGAGGGTATTGTGTTGGGAAGCCCTTCCCGGCTTCAGGAGACGGACTGTGATATAATGTCGGAGGGGAACCCGCTGAATCCGGAAAAGAATGCGAGGGGCTGGGAACTTGAAAACTGTAGCTGGATTCTGCCAAGATGCTCAGATCTAGATCGGCCATACTGTATGATGTCGTCGAACTGTCTCCCGGGTCTAGTGTATTGAAGCCTACTGTTGGAACCGTCTGGGGCATCTGAAAAATCACAAAGAATGGTGGATACTATATCGACTGCACGTAGGCCCCTTGGCGTTACAAGATATGACCTTCCAAGGGGGCCGAGCCATGACTCAATGTTGATGCATGATAAAGGTATTCGGCTATCGACTCTAGCTGAAGGCCATTACGAAGCAAAATCCCTCACATTAACATAGGACTCGGTTGAATTTGGCCTTCCATGAATCGCTTTCGTGTTGTCAAACGTAAGCGATTCGAATGGGCGACAGCGCACTCTCATTTCGTACCTTTTCAATGATTTGCCAAGCCCTAAACTATGTCGCGGTTTTCGTTTCAAGCGGTGGGAGCACAATCAATATACGAGAATGAATTATCCAAACCTAACAGGACTATTTATTAAGGCTCCTACGTTGCTTGTCTGAAAGAGTTCCGTGATCGACTGAGTTCTACAATATGCAGTCGATACGGTGGAATTAATGTTGAAGCACCTTGAGAGAATATATCGCATCCACGCCCAATGCACATCATGGTCTGGCAATCAAGCGTTCTAGGGCAAAACCTACATCTGGCTCATGATAATATCTATTCCCAGACACACACAGATTACGATATGTACATTTCGAAGGAGAAAGCCCTTCAATTCTCCAGGTCGTTCTAACGACGCACATTACTACTCTCTCAAGTCGATATGCGGGATGACACAGCAAAAGCCATGTGGCGACGTCTCCCTGACGGTAAAGCAATGCGATGATAGGTAATGATGAAGGCGGAGTGGTATCAAGTGGGCCAAGCAAGACAAGATTTAGTTGCTCTCGAGTTGCATCTCTCGACTGCCTCGGGAGTCAGGATGACGGTTACTGTGAACTGAAAAGTGGGTCAGCCCCTCCGTGTTTAGGATCATCCTCCACCTCTGCGCATACAAACTGCCTCTTCGCCAGGCCTAGCTCCATTTCCACAATCCATTTCCACAATAACCTATCTTCTTCTTTACCTCTTCGTTGTACTTAGCAAAACTCGTGTACGCTGTATTTGTAGAGCTAGCTGGTAAGTTCATATCCCTATAACAGTTCATGAGGCGAACTGATTCTATCGTGAAATCCTTAGAAGTTAGTACTGAATTTAGTATCTCAAGTGCAAGGTACAATAGAGCTACTGCATCCCGCGCTTACAGCTGGAAACACATCTGAAGCAACACCTGGCATCTGGCCCCGCGCAACTGTTCACGACACCGGGCAGAAGCAACATGTCAAAAGTAAAAATAAAAATAGCAAAAAAGAAGGCAAAAAAAGAACACAATGACGAAGCCTCACCATTTCAGCAATGACTCCACCACCTGAACACAACATATTGACGATAGCTTCCTTAAGGCCAACAAAAAAGCCCGAAAGACGTAAACTCACAGGGCGCACGAGTCGCCTCTCCCTTGCGCGCTGTGCTACACTCGACTGAGGTCCACAGGTGAGCGAGAGAGAGACGAGTAGGAGTGTGATCTATACTCACGACTCCTGTTTGCTTGCAGGCCAACCTGGAGCGCAGGTGAAACCAGCGAACGCCAGTGAAATGTTGGCATTCACGGAGGGCGCAGGTAGACTGCACATGCGTGGTCCCTCCTATCTCTCTCGCTTCGGTGCACGCCCATAATCATCATGATAATTTGATAAGCATGCAATTCACATCGAAATTTCATGCACCCCTTCCGAGTGTTTTTCGGTTACCATAGGCACATTTTCGCGACCGATGGCATGTCCTGGACGCCATCCAGCTTTTCCTTTTCCAATCAATTTCAGTTTCTTTCAGTAAAGGACAATGGGCATATAAAAGGGGAATGGTGATCACATATGTAGTCCACACAAGTGATTTGAAAGAATGATGGAGAGGAGAAAGCAAAAACAGTGTTAGCGAAGATGGGAAAAAGCAAAATGATAATAATGAAGAAAATAGCCAATTAGCCGATGAGCAAGAATGAGCAAATCAAGGACGACAAAAAAGGAATAAGAAAGAAAGACCAGAGAACAGGAAATTACAGTATGCAGGTCGAGAAAGCTACTTCATGGCTCAATCACCCATGATGCTGCATGAGACAATCACGCGAGAGGGCAAGAGTTGTGCCACAAAGGTGCGTGGCTGTTTCTCTAATGCAGGGGTCTCAAACTCGCGGCCCACAAACGCTCTCAATGAGGCTCGCGACCCACCTGCGTGCACCGAGAGAGAAACGTTTCAGGTCCAATGTACACTACAAATGAAATAATCTTGGCGATGCGACCTGCCCACCTACACGAGTTTGAGACTCCTGCTCTAATGTGTAGAATAACTTGGCGCAGAAGGAAGGGATGTCCAACCTTTAGGAAAAGGAGAGAGAGATGTTCGTGGTCTGGTCTCTATAGTAGGGAGGGAAGGGTTTTGGGTTGTCGATAGGAAAATGTTGCATCGTATTCTAAATGTAGTGGTCACCAGGCATAGAGTGCAGATTTCCTAAGTGAAATTGGAAAGCATTAGATACTTACGTTTTATTTTGAGGCTAAATCAATTGTACGAGTTGCAAATGGGTTTGATAAGGAGAATGATTTTATCCCACTATTTTCAGAATAAAATTTGTTTTTGAGTAGGAGGAAAACCATATTTTTCTTTGTATAATGTATGGCAGTCCACTTCTATGCCATTATTGGGGCTAATGATACGAGTATGTCTTATCCGTTCTTTGGGACGCTGTCCTACCTTACATCCTGTTTAAAAATAATCAAGGTATACCTAAAGGCACTTTTCATTATGTAACGATGTGAATGACCTGAGTAAAAGAGTCATTTGCAAAGAGAAAGCAATGAGAGATGATGTTTAACGGTTTGTCATTCTTGCAGGGAATAAAGACTTAAGGTAGACAAACCTCTGGGAAACTTTCAACAAAACTTTTTGGGATTAGGAAAGGACTCAAAGGGAAGGGAAGGGTCGTGAAAGAGTTGGTACCTCTGGTGCTGAAAGGACTCAATTAGACGAAGGATGAGGCAGCAGATTCCAAACATGCAGGAGATTTTAATTACAAATATTGTGTGAGAAAAAAATTTGAAAGGCCTGACTGGTGCCAAAAGCAAAGAAGTCAGTGCGTCTCACGTTGGGGTCCTTGAAGATTTCTTCGTGTATTTTGCACACATTGAACACGGTTGAGAACGGCCTGGATCATTTTAGATAAAGTTCTTGGAGCCTTTTTTTTACATAGGGATCACATAGGTAAATTTCCGGATGTTCCAGCGTATCCTTGTTGGAAGAAGGTATTGAGCAAGGGATGGAGGCTTTCATATGATTGTCAATCAAATCCCCAGCAAGCATTGAAAATCGGCTTTGGCTTTGCGATTATTTGCGACTGTGGGATGAAGATGACTTCATGCACCTCGCTCC